TTCCTGGGGAAACAAAAGGTGCACTTGGGCGGGTTCTGCTGGACCTCGTTGGGGAACCACATCTTTTTGGTTGAAACGCACTTTTTCGTGTGGAACACGAGGGGAAGCCACCATTTCCGACGACCTAAGCCCCCGCCAGCTGTCGGTCATCCCAGCATCCAGAGCTCAAGGGCAACATGGCTGAGCCCTAAGGTCGCCAGGACGGTGACCACATGCACTCCCTGTGCATGGTTTGCGGTGTCTCAAACATGGAAATCAAATCCCAAACCTCGGAGCCCACCAGCGCCCAAACCAACCAAACCAGGCCCCCTGCTTTCCTCAGGGGCGGGGGGGTATCCTTACAATGGAAGTCGAAGGGGACAGCACCCGGGTCAAAATTCTGGGTAAACAATACGCCACCCTCAAATCAGAGCTCCCCATGAAACAAAGGTCTTCATCATGGGGCCCGGGGCCGCAAACACTTTGAGAGGCTGTTTGTTAAAATGGGCCGGCCTGTTGGTTGATTATTGAAAGGGCTAACCTCATTTGTCGGTCGAGAGTCATGCCCTGGTTATGACAGGAAGTCACCATGTCAGGCAAACATGTGGGACCTGATCTTACCGTTACCAAGGTCAGTCCTTGGTTGCCGGCAAGTCTGGCAAGGGCCCTAAATCAGACCCAGTGATAAGCGTTGAAACCTGGAAGAACCAGTATCACAGAACGGGTGATTGGCCACAACCGTGTGCATGACTACTTTACCCCTTTAGAGGTTTCCCTTGGTATGACAGTTCAGTTTCACGACCCCAAAAATGTTTTAAGAGAAATTGCCAACTAGTTTCCGGCTCTAATTGATGAGTTGCAATTATCATACTCATGGGCCGAGTCTTTCTTCCAGCAGCGACGGCTATGGGGTCGATACGCTTGCCTTTGGGGCGGCCATGGGGCGGGTGGAAGGCTCCGGCAAATTGAGGCTCCGGGGCCGTCGGGGATACTCGGGCACTCTTTTTCTGGGTCAATTTCTCTCCAAACTGAAAGCGAAACCGCCGGGATCCAAAAGTAAGTTGAGATCCCCTCAAGGGCCAGATTGTTTTGTTTCGTTTGTTTTGTTTTTCTGGGGCGCAAAAGGAATTTCAAGGTTCCGTAAAAGATACATCCAACAATCACCTTATCACGAAGTCGGGAAACCCTCCAAGTCAGCAGGTCTCTGCACTCCCATGTTTGTCGGTCAGAGGGTTAGCCTGATTTTCCACAGGCCCCTGATGGCCTAAGCTGATTTAGAGGATTCCTTGCTCAAACATGGAAAACGGCACAACTTCCTATTTGTGGTGCTTGGGGTAGCACTTTGCTCATGGGAAGAGAATGGAAGACTTCTTTAGAAATGGCCAACGGAGGAGATGCTAGAAGCCACCAGGTATGGACGTTGAACGCGTCCTAGTCTTGTTTCCATCCGTTGACGCGTCGGATTAGTGCCTAATAAGGCCTCAGAAGTCTCTTGGAGTCCCTTTTAGGGGGCCCGACCCTTCGGAACCAAAGGAGTGGCTCGGCAAGTGCATCCGAGGCGCTCCTTCTCCGTGAAAGGCACGGTGGATCCGCCCACCGCCCGGCCACAAAAAGCGCAGTTCCGCTGCCCGCCCATGGCAGTTCACGAAATCGGCAGTCAACTGCTCACTGCCCTCTCGTTCAGATTTCTGAGGCGGCTTTCATAATACGCTCTTCTGCTAGAGGGACACTTAACACTTGCAAGTGCTACTTTTGACATGTGGCCCTAGTAAGGTCAACCAGTCAACTTGGTCTCATTCACATATGACTTTGTCAATGGGTTGCTGAGGTTGGCACAAATCTTCATGTGCTCCTTATCATTTCGCATTCGTGAGCAAATCAGCTTCATGCTTTGGCGGCCGCTCTCAAGCGCGCCCACTGTAGGCCGACCCCTCATCACGGTGGCAAACCCCCTAACAGAAGCATCCTTCAAGAAGCCGCAACAACACATTCATTTGGAAGAACTTTCCGGAATGAGTTTGGTAAAGGGTCAACCCATTATTGGCACCCAGCAGCAATGACGCTGCCCAAATGAAACTGCAGAACAAAACATGTTTAAGCTTGGGTTCAATATGTTGCTCAAAAGACTTGTTTCCGACGACCATGCCATGACAAGCTGCAGTTTTCGAGTGTATGAAATCCGCTAAAACTGAGGAGCCAGAACTGAGGCCATAGGCAAATGTGCTTTTTTGGGGGGTGGGGTCAGCATATATATATATATATATATATATCTATACACAGCGTGGTTTGTTTGAGTTGTAGACTGATGTTTTGGAAGCAGAATCAGCAAGTGTGTGTGTGTGTGCGTAACCACCTGACCAGAGTTTGGTCGCTGGGGGTATTCCACATTGAGTTGGGCATGCCAGTGTTTTTTGTTTTTAAAGTTTGTGACACGTGCAACCACTGAACCATATGTAAGCTCGATTTGACTCTTCTTAGTGCATGCAAGTGCATGTCATAGAGAAGTTATTCATGTCAAAGTAAACCATTACAAAGCATGGGGAAACCACAAGACCAGCAACACCTTGAGAAAGCAAAAGCAACCTCTAGGGGAGGACCCTTGGTTTCAGCGTAAACTTTGTTCTTTCTGGCTCTCTCGTTTTTTCTCGCGAGTTCTGTTTTTTTTTGGTTCCCGCAGTTGTTTTCTTTTTTGCATTATCCCTCCCAAGAACCAAAGACCGTTTGTTGGCTTGTGGTTTTTCCTTCTGACACGTGCAGAACAGCAACCCAACACACTGAGCATTTTGTTTGGCGGGCATGGCTCATCTTGTTTTGCACCTGTTGACATTTGGTCCCTTAATGTTCTTGCTGAATGTGTGGCCAAATATGTAAATGCGCACGCCTTGCTTCGATATGCATTGACTCTTCGCAATGGAGACTGCAACAAAGCGACGAGCTCTTGCCCACGCTCCGTCTCACGACCACGCTTGCGATTGCGCCGGCGCTGCCCCTGATCCGCTGTGCCTGGCTTCATGACACGGTTCTGGACGCAGGCAGGAGAAGCTTTCAGCTCTGGCTCCAGCGACTGAATGCACCCCCGACTGTGCAATGTCAACCCCTACGCCTGCGGCCGCCTACTGGCGCGGACCAAACGACCCGGCGAGCGCAGGGGCCCGGCGCCGTACATAAGTGGCGGAGATTTGTTTGGCCTAGCCCCTTCCACAAATTCATCGTTGATGGCAGTTGCAAGGAGGGGTGCCCGAACGCAAAAGCTGCAGCCAGGGCAATCTTCCAGTGGGCAGGGGAAGCAGCAAACAACATTGAAGACCACAAGATTTCCATGAAGATCAGGCGCCTGAGGGAAACTTATGTGGCATGGCTGTCCAAGGCCATTGCTGGCAAGGAGCTGTTGAGAGGGCCTGGCCTCCAAATTGGCAGAAGCTTTTGGCAAAGGAGAAGAGGAGTGGAAAAGCTGCCAAGCCGACGCATCTCCCCAACAGACGCCGGGGAAAGACTAGAAATCGCGGCAACTGTTTCATCAACCACATGTGATGCGGTTAAATCGCAGAGTTGTCCAATGAAATCTCCGATGCCCCCTTTCGCAGGCTGGTTGGCAAGCTTCACCCCCGCAAAGGACGCTATTTCCAATTTCCCGGGAAAGCGCAGGTCAGGAAGCCTCCTTGCTTGCGGTGATCCCGCTTCACTCTTTGGGGCCGATATGGAATGACCTGCAGGTGGAACATGTCAGTTTGTCAGTTAGACTCTCAATTCAGAAAGAGAACTCGAAGAGGAGTTCCTTTCCAAACCTGCTGTTCATTTTGACCAGTTTTTAGTAGAAGTTAATATTGAAAGAATTTAACCAGAGCCTCAATCTGAGCGTGGAATGTAAATGTGAAGTCCTTTTCCAACAAACAGAACTTCAATAAAAAGTAAAAAGAATTGCAGTAGAACTTGACAGCGACGGAATCTGTTTATAATTTCAATTTTCAACCATCGACGGAGTTGATTTAAATTTGTAGATGGGACACGAGCAGGCTGGAATGAGATGCAGTGACCTGCAGGTGGACATCTTTCAAGAAACATGTGCTTTCACACAAGCAGGAATGATATGCAACAGGTAGATCAGGGGGGGGGCTCAACACAAACTTGCATTTATATGCATATCTGCTACGTGTGTTGTGTTTAGCTTTGTTTGCTTCGTTTCACGTTGTGTTGGTTTGCGTGTGTACATTTTAGTCTCTTTTGGCTCCCTCGCTCGGCTGCTCGGTTGCTCGGTTGCTCGGTTGCTCGGTTGCTTGTTGCTTGGTTGCTTGGTTGCTTGGTCGGGTTTCAACTAATAAGGCGTATGGATGGTAAATGGCGGGGATGGGGTCAAGAGGTTGCCTGGAGGGTCAAGAGCGGCCCCATCAGTTGGTTACTTGACTTGAGCGCCCATCGGCCGTTTTACCCATCCGGTGTCATACGCCTCCAAATTCAGAGTGTACCACCTGCCAGACAGGAAGAGTTTTATGGCACCAGGGTTCCTGAAAAACCATGAAGCATTTGAATTGAACTGTCGGTTTGCAACCATTCCGGTACATGGAGTTCCTACATATTGCGGGCAAAACAAAACACGTTTCCCTTCAAAAACCGTAGCATTTGGTTGTCAAGAAAAAGAGGCCTAGTTCGGGACCGTTCAAGTGGCCGCTTTTTGCTTTCTCCATTGGTCTCCCTTCAACCCCCCCACCCCAGCAAAAAACAAATAGCAGTACAAACGCAAACAACAAATGCCTACGCAACAACCACAAAGGGGGTCCCACCCTCAGCGACTCAGCACCCCGCGCCCCTTAGACAACAAAAAGGCGAACAACAAAGGGACGCGTTGCCAGAAGTGCCATCTAACGTTTTTGCCCTTGACTGCAAGGACTATTAATCTTCAGACAGCACTTTTGCGTGTTGGACATCAATCCCCACCTTGATCTGATGACCGAGGAATTCAATCTCTTCTCTGCTTCACCCCCCGAATTTTCAGGGGGGCTTGGCACCACTGACGTCGGACGGAGGACCTGATGCTTTTGGTCTACAACGGTGGCCTGGCCGCCCATGCCGAGCTGCCATCCATGCACCCCTCTGAGGTGCAGGCGGGGCTGAGGCTCGGGGGGCCTTCAACTTCCCAACTCACGAGCTCAGCATGATGAAGGCCCTTTGCTTGCAACTTTTGAAGTATCGTAGTTTACCCAGACTACTCTTTAGAGCGAAAGGGCCCTCCCATGTATTTATTTACTTGTAGGTACAAGGAAATTCTTTATGGATTTTCCAACGTTTTCCCTCGGGGTGGGGCTTGAGTTTGGTGTGCCATGGCTCCAAAGAGTTTCACCCCCTTTTGACCTAAGAAAGAATGAGTTTCACCCCCTTTTGACCTAAGAAGGAATGGGTGGCGAGCGCATTGTTCTCCCTTTCCGTCTTTGTAGGTGTCGTCTTCTTTTGATTGGGGCGTTGGTACGTTCTGCTGAAAAGGGCGGCGAAAGGGCGCGAAGTCCCCGTTTTCGGATCTTGCGAGGGTACAGGTACATGGAGCTCCTCAAATGGGCGGAAGCTGAGAAGGAGCTTCCAGAAGGTTGCCTCGTTTCTGTTTGTTTGGCTATATCGATTTGCTTCATGAAGGGCTTAAGCAAATGGAATGTGGAGGGCAGGACATCTGGGCCAAGCCCAAAGCGCAACAATGGCCAGATTGGTCGATTCGCTCAGCATTTGAGTCAACTACTTTAGGTTTTGGTTGTGACTCCCCTGATGTTTTATCCATTTCTGCATAAACGTCCAGTCGACAGTCGCTTTGCGGAGGACACAGGGAGACATTCTGATCTCACCACAACTGCATTAAAATCTGAAGGGGCAGCACCTGACATGGTCCATGGCTCATGTGACCTGACCGAGCTCATGTGACCCAACTGAACACAGAAGCATGACGCCGACCTTGAACCTTGTAGGATTTGTGACCTCTCAAGGACCGTGGCTAGAGGGTCCTTCTTGTTTTCTTCTACTCGCCCTGGCTATGGCCACCGAGAGTCCCATGCCCGGTACTTCCAGGCGCTGTGGCCGCGGCTCATGAGGTCGGATGCCGCGGGTTTTGTCGTGCGTGCGTGGCTTTGGGAGGATTGGCTCGCTTGGGCGCAGGGAAAGCAACATAAATCCGACATAAATCCGAAAGAACCAACTTGTCATTCGAAAGAACGCAAATCCAAGCTCCCTGTCTTGACGTCTGGTTTTTTCTTCGATGAGCGGACGCTGCTTGATGCTTGCGGAGAGTGTGTTGCACTGCTGGGAAGACTGTCCTCCGTGGCCACCGCAAGGTTTACAGAGCAAAATACGTGTTTTGGCTTTTTGCGAGTTTCCATGGTGCAAGGGTTCCTGTAGGTGAGGATCCAGTATGATGGACACTTGGGGTATGGTTTGCACGGCCTTGTTCATGTCGTTGTGGAGGTTCTTGGCAGCCAAAGTGTTTTGAGGGTAGCCTTCTCACCTTGGCTTAAAAGGAAGCAAGTTGATACCAAAGCCATTTTTGGATCCACATCTCTATTTTGACCCCCCCAAAAAAAACCACAAAAAAATGAAGAACGAAGAAGAAAACAGCAACACAAACGCTAAAGTGTCTGTACCGATGGACTAACTGCTGCACCAGTTCGATTTAATTCACATCCACTCTTCAAAACGGCGGGTTTCGGTTTCGAGAGTTTTGGGAGATCCGTCTGCGTTCCCGTCTGCCCTCCGAGGCAGATGCCGGCGCTGCTGCAGCGCCACGGGGGGATCAGGAAGGCGGTGGCCGCTGGCCGGATGTGGCAGGAGAAGTCCGTGTGCCTGGAGTGTGCGTGGCCTGGAGTCAACAGTCCGAGTTCGTGGACTGTAGTTATTTTTGGTTTTTGGGGTTTGGACCTGTTTGTGGCAGACGGTGATCTTTTTGTTCGACCTGTTTGGGGCGATCAGAGTTGAGCAGCTCACCAGGGTCGGAAGTGGGACGAAAATCGACTTGCAGCTGTTGGAGCATGGCCAACAGGTGGCCGTAGGTCCTGCCAGTCCCCCAGCCCTCTAAAGGAGCAGGACGAGCTGGCGCCTTTGGAGTCGGCGCCCAAGGCGCGATGCATCCACGTGGATGCAAAAAGCCATAGGGGATGACAAAGGCATTCAAGGGATCCTTCTGTGGATGTAAAAAGTCATACACCATGTACTGCCTTAGTCAAGATCCCTTGAAGGCTACGTGTGGGCCATTGATGCGATGTTTTTTTTTTGAGAGACAAGGCAAGAGAAAACCGCGTCAGGATGGACGCCGCCCGTCCAAGGTGCGCACTGGGGGTGGGCGTGCATTTACCCTCCGGCACCCTTTGGGCTCCGTCGGTTTTTTGGGGTGTTCGCTGTAATGAGCACTGTAGGGATTTTGCTTGGCCGCCTTGAAGAGGATTTCACTGCAGTCAAACATCAAATTGGGCAAAAGACAAGCCTCTGGACTTTGAGAGATCATGTTCGGAAGCAAACAAGTTCAGGCAGTGATTTTCCAGACAGTCACTCGGCATAGAGCGCATTGCCTTGATACTGTTTTGGGAAGCGAGGGCTGACCCCGTTTACATGCAGAGACTTCTCTTTGCAATCTGATCCAGTGGTCCTTTAGACCCAAAACGGTACACCGATGTGCGTTTCGGGATTTTCCTTAAGGAGGTCCATGATGGGTCTGTCCCAAAATCAGGTGCCCGGTGCCCCGTAAGAAAAATGCGGTTTCCTTTTTTGGTTCCTTACCATCACCGAAAAGGGTTTTTTTGAAAGTCCCCGGACTCCAGAGCTTGGGCACAGCCGCTCGCGGGGCCGGGGGTCCGGGGGTGGGGGGGACGGGGGGGTCGGAGTTCCATGGCGGGCTTCTGCTTCTAGTCGACATGAATGATATCCCATGAGTCCCAAATATTCCACTGGGTCCCAGTTGGGGTGCCGCCTTTCTTTGTTTCGCTGACTTTACCTTTCCCCAAGCGGTTTCCTCAAGGTGTGCCAAACCTGTCTACTGTCTTTGGGGCTTGGACTTCGACCTAGGTGAGAAAGTTAGGCACAGAGGCCTACGGTCCTCTAAGTTTCCCATCGGATCATCGAGAGGGCGAACCCAATCTTCCCATCTCCTGGGAAACACTCGCAATTCTGACTGTGGCCCACATTATTTTGTCAAAGAATCTTCAGGTACCCTTAGACTCTCACAAGAGGATTACAAAGGGGTGCATGTCTTGGATGCTGTAGGTACCTAGCAAGTAGGTTACAACTATTGTCAAGTCAAACCACAAATTTGCCAGCTCTGCCGTGTGCCTGTTGCCTACCGGTGTCGCTCCGAATTGCGCTGCAGGTCTTGTACTCTTCTTGCATCCATCTAGGCTATTCTCGAACTCTATGTCAAGGAAAGTCGTACATTTCCCAGCATTCCCGTGCGTGGTTTCGCCTCAGCCAGCGCGCACAAACCAAGCCCTGCTGTGCAGCCACGGCTGTGCTTGCAGACATTCCTGCACCTACCCCACTTGGTGAGTCTCCTCGGCTTTCTGTGGGGTCTTGCAATTAGCTCTGAAGCTGCTCTTGCAGCTCTTCATGATCCCACTCTGGAACACAGTGCAGCCATCATCCGACACGCCACTTCGCAGGTCCGCAAGCTGCTGCTGAAGGAGGCGGTTGCACAAGGGCAAGCAGTCTCTTTCTTCTTCCTTTGCCATGCTTGCCATGTTGCTTCATCTTCTTTTTGCGCAAAACTTGGAAGGCGGCCAAGATCAGCTGATAGCCCGAAGAATGCGCCCACGAAGCACAGAGTGCTGAAGCACACTCTGGCAGCTGTGGCATGGCATCTATGCAGGCCAACACCATGCTGGCACTGCGGGTTTCCTCCCAGCACGAGATCCTGACGGGAGGAAGCCCAACTGGAGCTTGCGGAATGCCGCCAGAGAGGCCCAGCTTGAACTCTAGCGCCTTGTGCTGTGCAACCCAACCTTGCTGGCTTGCTTTCGTGCACCCATGCAGTCCTTTTTGCAAGCCTGCTGCTTCTGTTGACCATTTTGCCTGGACCGCAAGCGTGCAGAGTCTCCGACCTTCTCTTGCCCCGCTTAAGCTTCTTGCCACCCCGTGCTTTCAGCTGCAACTCGCGCTTCCGCATCTGAACCGCAGCTGGGTGGCGACAAGTCTCTAGGCGATGATCAGGGAGAGCTGCAGACACTGCATCGCGCTGCTCTCTCTCGCCTTTGCCTCTGCCTTGGGCCCTGCCTGAAAAGCAAAGATGTTCATCTTACTTTTTCGTTTGGCCCTGAAGTTGTCAGTGCGAATGACCAAACTTCCAGCCATAGGTGTCCTTTTGGTTGGTTTGGTTGAAAAATAGAGGGTTCTGGTTTACCCGGTGGTTCAATCATCTGCCAGGGTCTATTTTCCCGAAAGGACACCTATGCTTCCAGCATCTTTTCTAGGACCGCCGTCCGTCCGGCAGCGCTGCCGGCGCTGGCAAGGAGCAGGTGGGGAGAACCGGGGTGCGTGGGCCTGTTGCGGTCATGTATGCCCGTGGGGTTGTATCGATCGAATTGGACCAGATACACAGCCCCTTCTTGGCCTCTACATATACATATAATGCATGTATGCAATGTATGTAAAGCAAAGTAAAGTAAAGTAAAGTAAAGTAAAGTGAAGTAAAGTGATGTGATGTGATGTGATGTAATGTGATGTGGTGTGATGTGATGTGATGTGATGTGATGTGTGTTGCAAAGGAATGTACAGTAACTTATGGCATGGGATGGGATGGTATTGTATGGCATGGCATGGTATGTCTGCGTGCATGAATGATGTCTCTACATGCACACAAATAGATCCTGTTTAAAGCCAGCTGGGGTACACCCAGCCAGAGTATAATAATTACATGGCAGTCTTTCATGCCTGCCTTTCTCCGGGGCTTTCCGTGCATTGCCTTTCATTTCCTTGAATGTTCAACCTATTGATGTCGGGAACTAGCTTGGATCCAAGTAAAGTGGTGTTCCAAGTGAAGGAGCGAAGCCCAATTGTTCCACATGCAACCTTAGCGAGAATCTACCTCGTCCCAGGCAGTGAATGGTTCGTAACCTTGGTCAGGCGGCCCATCTTCTCCACGCCCGCTTTTGCTTTGTGAGGAACTTGGTTTGGGTGGCCCTTCTGCGATTGTGCGTTGAAATCCAGTCTGGGCGTTTGCTTGATGTTTCCTGGCAGGCTGGGGCAAGTTTTCTTTCTTGATGATTGGTGCTGGGGTCCCGTCCAGAGTTGCAGTTGGTGTCAAGGAGAACAGCTACATGAGCAGGTTCCCCAAATACATACTGTACCCTGTCTAGCCCTGCTGCATCTGCAGGTTGGTTCCCATTTGCCATCCCCCACCAGTTTCAAGGGAATAGTTGGGGCACCTCCAAGATCTGGGTTTCCCTTTGTCCTATTGGCACGTTTGAGTGTGTCTTCTTTTGGGATCTTTTGGTGGTTTCGAAGGCAACCCGCAACAGAACCAAACCCGCACTCGGGGAGAGACGTTGAGCTCTTAGGGCTCCATAAAAGATACGAGCAACTGAGTGAACGCACTTTTTTGATGGGGGGGTCATGTTCAGGTGGACCATGTGAGAACCTCTGGGGGTTTCCTATGTATTCTCTTGACCATTTGCAGGGCACTGGTTTCTGCATACACCTGTTTCCAGGGGTCTATCCGTGCCGGCCAGTGGTCGCTGCCTGATTTCGCAGGGCGGCAACAGCCACCCCTCTAGGACCACGAGAGGGTGTCCCTGACCGGGGTCCAGGAGTTCTCCGTGCTGCTGGAGAAGTGGGGCTCCCCAGGGGGGGTTGGAGGGGGTCGGGGGGTTCCGTGGTGCTATGGGACCTTCTCTTGTTATCTTTGTGTTGTGGCTATAGAAGAGATTACTTCACATATCTTCCCATTTTCCCTGGCCAGTATCCGATGTTTGGATTTGGTTTTGGTTTTGGCCCGGGGCAAAAACTTGCCTTGTTACATCCTGATGGGATTGCATATGGGTTTGACTAAGAATGGCATGTAGGGGTATGTATCTCGTTACTGCAGCGGTAGTGGACATTCTGTTACCTGAAGTCTCGTCAAAGATATCTTAGTCTACCACTAAGTATGAGGCAGAATCAGAACATCTCATTTAATATGTAGCCCTTTTTTGCGGGCCAATTCTCATTCGTCAGTGCAGTCAGGCTCTACGAGAACGAGAAGCTGAAGAGCCGCTTCTCAAGCCCCCTGGAGATGATTGTCAGCAGCGCCGCTTTGGCAGAAGGCTGGCAGGCAGCCATTGACTTCCTCGCGTGCTGCTCATTTCTGAATCGCGTAGGATCAAGAGACCTCCTCCCCATGTTTGGGTCCCCCTATTTTGACGCATACCATGGGTGATGTTTTTTTCACAGGTGGGGGTTGGTTCTCCTTCTCGGGGAAATCAACCTGGGTGTAAGTCTACCTGGAGAAGTCAACGCAGGGAACCATAGGCAGCTAGTTGCGATGCGTGAAGCCAGACTTCAAGAAGGAGATCCGACGTCGAAGCTGGTCCAAAGGGTCATGCTTTGAACCTCGCCTCTTGGGCCGTTTCGAAGGGAGCTTCCTCCAAATGGTGCGACGGTTTTTTGGGCAAAGAGCGGGAACCCTGGCCCGTCTAAAGGTCCTCCACGCGCAGAGTTGCGGCCACATCTGGGAGGAGGAGAAGTTCTCCGAAGCCGGCGCCGCGCCAAGACTTGGGCTGAGCGCGCGCGCGCGCGAGAAGGGCGCCCAATGGACCACGGCGCGTAGGTCACTCCTGTCATGGGCGATGTTGACCAAGTCGCTTTGGGTGTTTTGGCCAAGTCTGGTCAGCTGGGGCTGAAGGGGTCAAGGCACAACGATGAAGCATGCTTTGGAAAGTTCAAGGACATGGTGAAACAGGCGGGGGTGGCCCAAGAAGAGGGGTCTCGTAAGGACTCATGGCATGGGTTTTGCCCAAGAGACCTCATTGAGGGGCGGTTTTGTGAGAGCTAGCTGGGCGCTGGAAAGGGCTCGAAGGGACTTGGAAGTCCATATTTTCAGAAGGGGCAAACCACATTCGACCTAAACGATTGGAGAGTTGGGGCGTCCTGGGAGGGCGTTTTCTAGGGGTAAAAAACTGGGTCATCAGGTGTTCACCTTTCAGTTTTGGTGGCAAGGGGGGCGAGTTTTGTTGGGTTGCCGCTTTGCGGGGCAGGCTTTGGTCAAGGAGGTCAGCTAAAGCTCGAGCACCAGCAGAATCTTCCCGAGGAGGGAACCTATTTTTGTGATTGACCTTCCCTTTCCTTGGCCTTCTGCGGCTATGGCTTACCGGCACCGGTAAGACGTTTGAAAGAGGGCCCCAGAACCATGTTGCAGTGACAAACCAGCCCTTAACCCTTTGGGAAACTTTGGGACACATCAACCATTCTATGCAGACAGCCAGCTTTGGTGAATGCCAGTAAGAATTATTACCCCTGTGAAAAGGGTCGAGAGGTTTCGTTCAGTTGCGTGTGAGGCTCGATATTTGTTGGGTGGCTATTGTGATATTTCAGGATGGCTATGCATGCTTCTCGATCTTGGGAGAGAAACGTGTTTTGGGATACAGTTAGGGAAGGAACACAAGCTTTCGGGGCGGATTGTCAGACGTTTGGGTTCCCGGACAATCCCCACGAAATTGCAGCAGGGACAAAATAGATGGCACAATTTCCTTGTGGGTGGGATGACTAGCCCAAAATGATGGAATTGTGCCATGTGCTGCCTCCAACTCTCATGCTTTGTCTTGGAAGAACCTTTGAACCTACGAGTTTCTCCTGCAACAACATCCTTGAGCTTGGCCTCCCCCAAATCGACTTGTTTTTTGAGGCCGCTGCGGGTTCAATGGGACGCCAACGGAACACCGAAGGCCTTCTTGTTTTGACGCTCTGAACTTCTGAGGCGCACCTCTGAAGTTCTGAGTCCGTTTGAAACGCGGCTCGCCGCCAATGAATGCCATGCGCAGGAACGCACAGCCAACCAGAAAAACCCGTTGCGGTGACTTGCAGGGTGTCCTGAAGGGGAACATGCCCTTTGACAAGGGGGGGTAGAGGGTTGCTTGATTTGGACAGCTGCTTTCCATCAGAATGTCAAGACGTTGCTTTTTGGACTAGCGGTAAACGTCTAATCAAGCGAGAGGTGTGAGTTTCACTGGCGGCGCTGCATTGGCAAACACTATTCATGACGTTGTTGGGCGCGCTCTTATCCTGTATTGAATGCCTTCCTTTCTCCATGATGTATATGGGGGCATGTGCCAAAATAGGGATTTGGCCCCACACAAGGAACGATGGTTTTATTTGGACTTCCCTTTAAACCAACCCCTGCCATGGGTATGAGTCAAAATTAAACCACCAGGGGACCACAGGTTTTAGTCAATGTTTCCTTTTCCAGGGTTCCGTTTTGGGTACATCTTTTTGACCCACACACAAATGATGGTTTTCTTTGGACTTTTCTTTAAACCAACCCCCAACATGGTTCCCTCAAAGAAGCAGTCGGCCGCGGCCAAAGCGCTAGCTCGCCCAAGGCGAGAGCCAGTGCCCAGTGACCCAAGACTATTTTACTTCTGCTTGAGGTTATGGAGCTCTTTCTAAGGAGTTTAGACACTGCGAGAAAGGAATACCGACAGAGTCTTGGCCATGCCAAATATAATACATATATACATAATTATCTACATATTTGTGCTTGTGTTTGTGTGTGCCTGTGTTTGTGTCTGTGCCTGTGCCTGACATGTGCATGTGCCTGAGTCTGTGTCTCTGTGTGTGTTGTATGTTTTTAAGGGTATCCTTTTCCGGGTGGATAAAAGGGAAGCCACGTGGAACGTCTCAAGTGTTGGGATTTTCGCCTTACTTGGACACCAACCCACATGGGACAACCGGGGAAGTTGGGCAGCCGTATATGGATAGCCGCATCAAGCCCACAAATCTCTCTCGCTCGCTCTCTCTCTCTCTCTCTGTCTCTCTCTCTCTCTCTCTCTCTCTCTTTGTCTCTTTGTCTATATATATATATATCCCTTTTGTGTGAATGAACATCACCCCGAAAAAGCAAATTTCATGTGTAGGGGGCACTTTATAGGGAACCCTGAAACTGGACATGTTTTGGTGACTGGGCGACTCTTCCAGCTCCGCGCACCCGAGATTGCCCCAACACGGGGCACGCAGATTCGGACCGCCGAAAGAGCCGGCTGGGGTGGGGCGGGTTGTCGGGTGGACGGAGTTTGAAAGAGCGTCCATGGGTGTCTGTGTTGTGGGGGTTCCATGCTAATCTGCAGGAGAGTAACAACCATGGGGCTAAGACGAGCGTACAGCGCCTTTTTCCGCCCAGTGCGCTAGAAGCCATTGCCTTGCCAGCAGGAACATGTTACGGGTGTTTTTGGGAGTTTCAGGTTGGCAACTCACTAAGACCCCCTCAAGAACAGCAGCACCACCCAAACAGCCCCCCTTTGGGAAAGACAAACGTAAGCCAAGAAGGACATTTTGTGCTTGGGGAGGGGTGGTTCAATTCATCTTTTACATTGAGACATCCAAAGACCCGGGTCATCGGAGCCGAAACTGACACCCTTGTGGCTTTGTCAACGATGTGTGCTGTCGGGTACCCTTTCTGGGGCAAGGGAAATTGAAGGAAACTACTCCTTTCTTTGAAGTTGTCTGTCTCATTTTGAGACATACACTTGTGGGTCATTTCCCTGTTTATTTTTCGCCGCGGTTGACTCTCGATTGAATATTTTTCGGGAGAGCAGCACATAGAAACTCAGAATGTCAAGCCCTACAAGTGTCAACACGTCAGAATGCCAATCCCCGGAGAGGGCCACACCTTACGGGAAGAAAATCCTACAGGCCGCTGTATTGCTAAACCGTCCAAAGGCCTACGACACTTCGTCCCAGTGATGTGCCATGCCTGCCGTCGCATCTCTCAAGAGCTCCCAGTGTCGCAAATCGTTGGCCGTTTGCCATCCGATCGATCGATATGGACCGCGGCGGTCAATGCCTCGAAGGCAGGGCTGGTCATATATGCGCGTGCCTCAAAATAGGGATCGGAACCCCCCATTTTGGGTGGGTTTCCTTTTGGTTTCCCTCTCAAAACACCACAAGAAGGGTTCCCTCAAAAATACAGACACGCCCATATGGGTGTGTCATTGCGGGAATGACGTGGTTTTGAAGGGAAGCTGAAAGAACATTCACCATGGTTGGGGGGACGGGGGGGGGGGGGTGTTTGGACTTTGGCACACGTAGAAGCTCCTGAACTGGTCTTCTTGAATTCCAGTAAAACAGCCTTCGCGCAGTTCCAGTTTGCCCGTGATTCATAACCTCTTGGTCGATTTTGCTCCGGGGTTCGCGTTTGAGAGGAAATGGACAAAGTCCTGCACCAATTTGTACTTGGTTTACTCCGGTGTTCGTACGGCTTCATCCCTCCCAACAGGAATGTCCGTGGTCGACAGTACTGCAGGCCAGCCTTCCGGGGACTTGGACCCGTTGCTGCAGCAGCAGATCAACCAGGCCGCAGGGGCTCATACCCAAAAGGGCGGAATGCAGGGAGACGCCGCTGGTCACAAAGAAGTCTTGGCTGTGAGCGAATGGTTGTTGTAACAGGGCATGCGAGTGTGTCATTTTTGGGCCCCCGCCAAAAGTCGCTTTCCTTTTGGTTATCCACTTCAAACTACCAAAAAGGGGTACCCTCACAAAAACGAAACCTATAGGTATATGGCGTGGTGTGTGTGTGTGGGTGCCACATCAACCTTTCAGCTAGCAAGTTGGCGTTTAGCTTCGGCCTGTGAAAGGTCCCTTCTAGCAGTGGCAGATCTGTTTGATTCTTTCTGTTTGATCATTGCTCACATAGCGGTCTGCACGGGAGACTTCATTTCAAAGGTGCCGCATCAACTTTTCAGACGGCAAGTTGGCGTTTGGGGCTTAAAGATTCAAGGACGTTGGGCCTGCCAAGGCCTTGCTAAGGAGGAATACCCCGTGTATTGCTCATGACCTTCGGCTTGTGAAAGGGCCCTCAATTTGGGCAGTGACGGATCTCTTTGAGGCATTCCGTTTGCTCGTCGCTCAGATAGCTTTCAGCAGGGGGCAGGAGCGCTATGGCAAGTCTCCTGCCAACGAAGACACTTGCCATATGCGGTGAAACTGGGACTGATCATCCCAGCGTGCCTGCAATTTTAGTGGTTTTTGCAAGCGTTGCTTCGACCACTCAAGCAGCGCTGTTTTTTCCCGCTGTGTCAAGTTGCAGTCTATCTGTGACATGCGTACTCGAGACTTGAACAGCTAAGGGAACAGGCAACCAACAACAAGTTTCAGATATGTCCGGTGACTTGAGAGTGCCTTGGCAGCATGGTGACGTTGGTTCACTACTCACCTGCGGGGAGTTACCAAGTGTGTGTGTGTGGGAGATGCATCCACTTTGGTTATAAAAAGTCGATATTGCTGGGCACAGTCGTATCCTTTTAAGGCCAACCCCGGGAGCTTGCAACGATTGCAACACGTTGGTAGCACTTTGCCCCGGGCAAACCACAGACAAACCCGAACACGAAGAAATCGGCGTCGAGGGGTCCCGAGGTTTCTCCCAGCCATGCCATGCGTCCAAATCCAGAAGTAAAATAGGAGTAAACTGTGCTGGGTTGAACCAGAAGTCTAATTGCCCCTCCCTTGCGCATGTGCAAAAAAGCCCAGCCGGCGAACCACCCTCTGCAGGTTAAAGTTCCAGCTGCCTGCTTCGAATTTGAGCGCCCGCCGAGAGTACCGGGGGGGATTTTGCAATTTTAATTCAGTGGTTTCCGGTGGTCTCCGGTGGTTTCCCCACAAACATCACCAATCCCGAAAAGGGCGCCTGGGCACTGGGAGGACCTCCCAAACAGGGCAAAGGCACAGGGGTCACCGGCTTTCTTCGGACGCATGCATTTCCAGTGTGCAACTCCTTGGGGAACCCTGTCTGTTGCCAAAAAAGTCAAAAGGCCGGAGCCAGCCGACGGGCAATTCACGTCTCCCTGTTTGACAGTCCCCGAAAGGGTCCGATTTCTCAAAAAACGGGAAGGCCAAACGGATTGCCTCATGCTACAAATCCCCCTGGGCGCCCACCGATTCCTATACGGACGTGCTCTTTTCTTTCTTTCTCGGAGACCCCCGCAAAAACAAAAAACAAAAAAGCAAACAAGCACAAATAACAAGACAATGTTGGTTTTCCTTTTGGTTTTCCTTTGAACCAACCCAAAACCCCCCGTCGCCAGGTGCTTCGGCCGAGGCCGGGGCTGCGCTCCCGGCGTGTGGAGGCCAGAAGGGGTTTTGGGGTGGCGGGGGGGGTGGGGGTTGGGGTGGGGGAGGACTTGTGGGCAAGTGGCCATACTGTGGATGGACGAAATCCTGCACCACCTAAGAAGCAATGGAATGATGCTTTTCCTGTAAATACCAACAAACAATGGTGTCCCATGTTTCAGATGCAGGATTTCGTCCATCCACAGCAGGTGTCCTTGACCTGCTGGATGCTGCTGGTTTCCACAATCTCTCAAAAGAACACCTATGTTTCTTGGACCGGAGCCCGAAGTGCCAGGAAGAGTTGTCTTTTGGAGATGTTCGCCATCAAATTGGAAGGCTCAGCCAATTTCTGGACAGAAACTATATGACGACACCACACAAATTCCCAAGCTGCAGGCTTTCACCAATCTGAACGCATGCTAGAATGCTGGCAAGAGCGGGGGATTGCGACCTCAGTCGTGGGCAACCTCTAGCGACCCCACCAAGGCATTCGGTTTGCGACTGCAGTCCCATGAGACAGAAGGTCCTGTTTCAGGCTGAACCGGTTGGGTGAAATACGGAGCATCATCTTAGCGTGACTTTTGGCACTTGGTTCAAGGCGTCCCCCACCCCATGATTTTCAGAGAATTGATCTTGCTGGTTCTCAGCAGGGAATGAGAAATGTAATGACTCCGAAAAGAACCATCCCCGATTTGATTTCCTTTATTCGAGAATCCCAAAACGGTTCATTCCCAACACCCGGACTCGTTGTCATTCCCTATCTATCGCACCAGCAAAATCAC